AGTCCACCATGGATCCATGCCCCTGCTGATGACGGGTACCTGCGTGCACGCGCCGCTCTCTTCGGAGATTCGCAGTGAAAGAGTATAGCTAGCTAATAGTATTAGGGCATCGGCAACGATTACCAGCTCTAACACAACTTTTCTAGTAATACTAACTTTTAGCTCTAACTTTTATCATGGATAGCCCCATATGATACTTAAACATAACATTAAAATATGTGTAAAAGCTTAGCTCTGGATCGAGAGCTAGCTTTTCTTCTCTTTCTTATATTAAAATATGAAAAAAATACTTATAGCTACTTTATGAGTCAATTGTTGGAGCTGTCCATACTCAGATATACTATATATGCAGCCGTAAAAGAAGACGCGATAATAATTGGCTAATGAGTAGCAGGAGTACATGAAGGTACATGCTTCCTGGATTCTCGTTAGGCGACTGATTGGTGGAGTCGGAGAAGGCCAATCATGACGCTATGATTTGTTCTGCGACAGCACGAGGCCGGGCGTCCGATCCGTCACGCCCCTCCGACGACTATCCCGAGCAAACGACGAAACTGAACAAAGCGGGAGGCAATCATGAGCGTATCATGTGCATGTGGGTGCATCATGTGCATGCACATGATGCATGGCACGAGACGCTAGCAACGAAGAGGCCGTTCGGCTGGTTGGTTGGCAGCGGGCTGGCTGGTTCCTTTGCTCACGAAATTACCGTTCACATCCTGCTAGAACAGTATTTTTCTCTCACAACAATCAGCCGGAACAGTATTTTTCAGTCCCGCCGAACTTGCTCACATGGGACCTCGGGGCGCGCGCCGAGCGTGTGCTGGCCACGCGGCAGCATGGCGAGCGCACCGACCGTGTGTGTCGTCGTTCGTACTCCTACCAATAATTAATAACCAATGACAATGGGAGATGGATGATTTTTGAGTTTTGACCGGCTCTCAGCCCTCGCCCGCCTGCTTCGGCTGTCCATTCTCAGTCAAAGGCTCCCATAACGCAAACACTACTCCTACCACTACCAGAACTTAACCTGGGCAGTTGGCATGCATACACGGATCGAGAGAGATCATCGGATCGGGATTGCACGAGTTTCTGACCGCTGAGTTAAGTGCGAGTCAAATTTTGCAGTTTGTGCAGACATGCCGAATTATATAATCCTTTCTTTGCCCTTTTCCTTTCTCTCTTTCGGACTGAATTTCTTCCCATTATTACACAAGTGCATTATTGGTCATAGGAGTACTATTTTGTATGGGCGGTTTCACGTGTGGACATCTAATCTAAGTTTACATATGTGTAAGTTATATAAGTAGTTTCGTATTTAAAATACTTGCAAAATATATGAACTTTGAAGGGTTTAAAAGTATATGTAAAAGAAATTAGTTGTCAAAGATGGACATCGATCAAAACCGTGCACGTTAAATATGACAAGTTTTTTTTTCCAAAGGTGAGAGGGAGCCCGATATAATTAACAAACTGTATAACGATTTATCTCAAAAACAACTAACATATACCGGTGATGTTTCCTTTTAACATAGGCTAAGCACAAATTATGATCTAGTGCTTGCAACATTTCACACCAATAAACGATGAAGGATCTGGATCCGCACTCAAAGGATTCATGGTCATGACAATTTGATAAAGGGATTGCTTTTAATCTATCAACAAATTTATTTTAGAAAACATATCAAAATTTTAACTGTTTAGTGGAAAATCCATGGTCTCTAGATCACCCTCTCTCCCAATCTTATCTTCTCCTACTGACCATAACCTTCTTCTAGCAGCCGCATCCTCTGCCTATAGCTTCAATGGCACCCCTGCCTCCTCTGCCTCTAGCCCCGCCAACGTTCCTTCGGCCGCCAACGCCTCGCCGTCTCGCGTCGTCATCTCACCTTCTTGCCTCGCCGCCTCATCGTCGTCCCACATGACATCTCCTTGATATCTTGCCTCGTCGTCCTACCAGTCGCATCTTAACCGTCTACCAATGCCTCGTCATCCTACGCACCTGTCGTCTCAGTGTCCACCCTCGTCGTTCCATGTGTCTGTTGCATCCTCATCATCTAGCACCCTCGCCGCATTTTCACTGTATCGCGCACCTACTGCCTTCGTCGTCCCTCTTGCGGGGTTAGGGTCACGATCGTGGGAAGAAGAAGAGATTGGGAGGAGAAGAAGATCTCAGTCGTAGATTACATGTGTAACATTTAAAATTTTGGCACAATTTTGGGAAGAAATATATTGCCGCTAAATAACAATTCCCATAAATATTCTTTAAACCATGGTGGTTAACTTGGAGAAGGGGTGAATTGAGGGGGTAGGCTAGAGGTTGAGAGATTAAAGATAATGAGGCCAAAATAGTCGAGATCTACCAGGGTCTAGTGCTTTCTAAGAACGGTTCTAGTGTTTGAGGAAAATCAAACTATACGATTGCAAAATCGGATCTAGCATTCTATTGTATTTGAACGTCGAATGTTGGAGGAAGGAGGACTAGAATGCCGCCTAGAGGCGAATCGAGCTGAGCTTAGTCCTACTGGTTAGGGTCATGTGACGAAACTTGCCAATCCAGGTTCAAGATCTCAACAAGACATGGGTATTTATGATGCGATATGCCACGGCAACAAGACGTCTATGGTGACATTATCAATTTTAAAATGTGTCTGTCCAGTTTTTCTAAAGTGCTCATAGAATAAATATGATATGTGTGCCCATGCTCGTAGCGAGGAGTGTGCGTCCATGTGACCATGTACATGAGTATTTCCATCTTTGTGTGTTTGATTGAATAATAATCTCTCTGCCTAGTGGAAGATGAATAGGTGATTCCTTCAAAAGAACTTACAATGATTGGTTAAATGCTGGTCATTGGCGTTTTTGCGAATGTTCCGGAGAAACACAGAGTCGAACATAAAGACAGCAAACTTTTTTTTTGGCCATGCACAGCAAACTTTGCTGTTTTGTTCTGGTTGGGTTTGGCGGGCTGCGAGACCCCCACGAGGTGCCGCACGTGCGCCAAGACCCCCCAATTTTTTATAATTTGGTCTATTTTTTGAAGAAAATTTATGTTTGCCCCCCTGGGAGACGTAAACTCATTTTTGACCCTAGAGGTCGGCGCCAGGACTCATAGCTCCGAGATAACACGTCTCGGCGCCATAGATCTTGGCTCCGATGTGCCTGCCCGTGCACAGCAGGGCATTCTAGGTGGCGTTGACGTGGCCGGTACCTCGGAGCCATAGATCTTGGCTCCGAGCTCAGCGCTAAGATCTGTGGCTCCGATCTCGGAGCCGTGGATCTCAGCTCTGAGCTCGGAGCCATAGATCCTGCTGGTAGCTAGCTAGATATATAGTAGATGCATGAACGTATTGGCAGGCCACTTCGTTCCGCACATAGGCACGGAATATACCGGCATGCTTGCGCAAGCCGAGCTAGATAGCTATTCAAAAAATGGAGCAGCTATTTGGAAGCCATCAATCATATGCCACATAGCTAATCACACTGCATGCATTAACAAGCTATAGCTACGTAGCCTACTATAGCTAGCACAAATAATGAAGATCAAGACACAAGGCCGATTGTGCGAGTATGCGGTAATCACGCATTTTGGATCTTATATATGTGCGCTGATGCGCCAGGGGCGATCGTTGTGCGTCTTGCAGGTTGTTGTAAGTTAGCGGCACTACTGGCCAGCACCCAGCAGTGTGCGGTGTCAGTGTCACAAAGTGTGTGTGCGCTCCTTCGATTCCTACACCCGGCCTTGTCGCTTCGCGCACTGCCGTCCCCAAGGCCAGTGAGCGGACGGCGGCGCGCAACAAATAAAGTTACCAGATGGATGGGAACAAATAAATCAGTGGACGGGCGCTCGGGCCGAGTCCCGTCCCGCCTCAATCTACAGTGGGATAGATGGCCGTGGTTGGACCTGGCCGCGCCCTGATGATCCGGCGGCGCGCGACAAATAAAGTTACCAGATGGATGGGAACAAACAAGTCAGTGGATGGACGCTCCCGGCCGAGTCCTGTCCTGCCTTGATCTGCAGTGGGATAGATGGCCGTGGTTGGACTGGCCGCGCCCTGATGATCCGGATCATCATGGCGCGGCCAGGTCCGATCATCAGGGTGCGGCCAGGTCCAACCACGGCCATCTATCCCACTGTAGATCGAGGTGGGACGGGTCTCGGCCGGGAGCGCCCGTCCACTGATTTGTTTGTTCGCTAACTTTATTTGTCGCGCGCCGCCGTCCGCTCGCTGGCCTTGGGGACGGCAGTGCGCGAAGCGACAAGGCCGGGTGTACGAATCGAAGGAGCGCGCACACACTTTGTGACACTGACACCGCACACTGCTGGGTGCTGGCTAGTAGTACCGCTAACTTACAACAACCTGCAAGACGCACAACGATCGCCCCTGGCGCATCAGCGCACATATATACGATCCAAAATGCGTGATTACCGCATACTCGCACAATCGGCCTTGTGTCTTGATCTTCATTATTTGTGCTAGCTATAGTAGGCTACGTAGCTATAGCTTGTTAATGTATGCTGTGTGATTAGCTATGTGGCATATGATTGATGGCTTCCAAATAGCTGCTCCATTTTTTAATAGCTGTCTAGCTCGGCTTGCGCAAGCATGCCGGTATATTCCGTGCCTATGTGCGGAACGAAGTGGCCTGCCAATACGTCCATGCATCTACTATATATCTAGCTAGCTACCAGCAGGAGGAGTGGACTGGTGTCATGGTGTGCGTGTGCGTGTGCGTGTGCCTTTTCACTGGTTCCATGCTCGGCGTCAGATATATGGCTCCTCGGAGCCGTGGAGACTGGTTTTGAATCCATGCTCGCGTCAGAATCTATGGCTCCGCGGCTCTGAGATCGGAGTCACAGATCTTAGCGCTGAGCTCGGAGCTAAGATCTATGACTCCAAGGTACCGGTCACATCAACGCCACCTAAGATGCCATGCTGTGCACCGTCAGGCACCTCAGTGTTAGATCTGTGCCGCTGCCGCAGTGGATGCAGACCGACATGGACATGCCCGTCGCCTTAGACTTCGACCCGGAGGTACTGTCCGGATTCCGGGAGGCTCTAGAGGGCACGCCGCCGTCGTCGGAGCCTGCCGTTGTCTCGTCCGCCGAAGACGAGACACCCAGGGAGCAGGAGCGGAAGGACAGGAAGGACGCGGACGCATGTGACATGCCAATGTCGCCGGCCACCGGCGACATGCCGGAGCTTTCCGGCCTTGTCCGTGCCCGCATCCTCGTGTTCCAAGAGAAGATCGAACGGAGACGAAGCAAGGGCCACGACGCCAAGGTGTCGCCCCTGTGGCCGCCGGGAGGCGAGCGGAAGGCGGTGGTGTACTTCACTGAGCCTCCGCGGCGTGCGCAAGACGTTCGTGGACTGCTACGCCGTGCGCAGCATCCTGCGCAGCTACGGCGTGTGCCTAGACGAGCGCGACGTCTCCATGCACGCCGTCTTCAAGGCCGAGCTCGCGGAGCTCCTCGGGCCCGGCTTCGCAGGCGCCGCGCTCCCGCGCGTGTTCGCCGACGGCCAGTACCTCGGCGGCGCCGAGGACGTGCACTTCCTGCACGAGGCGGGCGAGCTCGGGCACGCCCTGGGGGCGTGCGAGGCCACGCCCTCGCGGAAGCTCGGGTACATGGAGACGTGCGCCGCCTGCGGCGATGTCCGGTTCGTGCCGTGCGAGACGTGCTACGGCAGCTGCAAGATCTTCGTCGAGGAGGACGACGCGGGCGACAGGTATCACGACGTCGGCGAGTTCCGGCGGTGTCCCGATTGTAATGAGAATGGCCTCGTCAGATGCCCCGTTTGTTGCTGCTGATGCTTGTGCCGCGTACGCTATGGTAGATTAGTTGTTTTTTTTTTTTGTCTATACTCTGTAGTTTGTACAGTGTGGAGAGCATTATAACATAATTTTGATAGGAACAGGACCCTTATAATAATTCCGTGCCTAGTGCCTATCTGTTTTTCATGTGTGAAAATAAAGGAATTTCAAGAGAAACTGCTCAGCCTGTTGATGATCCTATAAAACTGTTGAAAAAGGGATGGAACATTTTTGCTCGGGCATCAGAAACATTATATTCGTAATAGAACACTTGTCTAGGGGAGAACAATTGTTTGGTCATTCCAGATTACAGATTTCTCCAGCTGCAGTCAACACAAAGTGGCCTTTTCATCATGAAGGGTAAAATGGTCAGTAGTTGGAAGGATTGTTGATAGATAAACAAAATCTGAATAACATCTGATAACCGAACCATATACAAACGAGAGGCATACCAAGAGGGAAATAAAGTCAAAAAGAAAAGGAGCTAATCCACCGATGCAAGGGAAGGCAGTACTCAACAGGAATGCAAGAATATGAAATGAGCACAAAGTCAGAAACGTGACTGCACGATCACTTGACTCCATTTGCAATAATCAAACTTATCAGAGCAAACAGTTTGTTCTAAACGCACTGTTCGTCTCCTTTTAATTTATACAACGCTGTTGTCTGCTATAAATATACATCGAACAACATCACTTGAAGTATCGTATTAAGGTGTTCGTCCTCCTGTTTAGTAACTGAAGGATGGATTGTATATTTATTTTTCACTTAACTCTGCCTACCATGTGCGGCCAGATCTGCCGCGGCCTTGGCAGCCCTAGTAAGAGCATCAGACAACACCATGGCCCCTGCAGAGAAGTAGCTGCTGGTGACGATGCCATTTACCACCTTAGCTGCCGTTCTTCCAGTGGCAGTAGCAACCGTCTTGGTTGTCTCTGTAACGCGATATGTCTCGTCGACTGATCGCATCGCACCAACACCAGCATTGACCCTGTCAGTTAAACCGATTCTCTTGCTCAGCTCTGCAGCCCTGGCTGCAGCTGCAGCTGTTAATCCATAGGACTCATCAAAGGCTTTAGCCTTAGCCAAAGCATCCTTGCTGAGCACGTACCCCTTTGCTAGCATCGTCTTCATGATATCTTGAGACACTGTAAAAGCTTCCTGCGGAGTAGTGTTGTACTGGCATGTTTGGTAGTTCTGTTCATAAAAAATTAAACATCAGCCCTACATTTGGGATTGGGAGAGTGAATTGCTGTTCAGACATCAACGAGGATTATTTTGAGAATTCAGACTAGTTTATCTTAAAATGTCCATGCTGGAATGAGATAAGCTTCCTTCTTTTTTCCTCAGTTCATATCACTGTGCATCTCTAAAGTGTGAAAACCACATTTTAACTCATCTGTCATGTAACAGAAAGATGAGCATAACCAGGTGATTTGGTAAGTTACATGGCAAAAAAGTTATATTGCCACTTATGCAAAAGAGCATCTGCGCTTATTAACACCAAGGACGCCACTCCAAGCAGCTTAATTAGCATGATTGATGTGATGCAAATCATGTGTGTGACTAGAGATAATTTGCTTCGACGCCAATCCACTAAATCCAATAAATTGTCATATAATGAGAAAACTGGTTGCTCAAGGCAGAAATGAATTCTATTCACAAAATTGCTTCCTTGTCCTAGTTGACTACTATTAACTATGCAGAAAATTAGTAGAATGGCAAGATGCATACCCTGTATTCGATTTCCTCTTCGGTCTCCCAAGTTGGCCTGTCCCAGAAATTAAAAGTCTCCTCGGGTTGTCCCCAATAAGTTATGCATACCGGCTGATCCATAATAGTAGCCCCCTATCGAAGATGCAAAGTGTTGTCAGGGGCACAAAAAAAAAAGGTACTTGCTACCCAGGAGACTTGTTGATAAAGTGGTTCGGTAAAGAAGTATACGGGCATACGGCCAGCTTCCAGGTCACTCCAAAGCAAAGCACAAACTGAATTATGTCAAACTGAAAAGATTGGGTTTCACTATCCAAAGATATACACAATCTTGAAGTGTGTAGAAGACTGACACTGCACTTTTTTCCGGGGGTACAATATCCATTTAAAGAATTGAGATAGTTCGGATAGAGATGAACGGGACATCACATGTAAAATTGCATGTGTACATAAAGCTTTAGGGCCTCTTCGGTATAGAAGGAGAACCTTAATCTAAAAGAATTTTTCATCTGAATGGTGTACACACTAAAGAGAGGCTCAAGAACTTTCTTGCTTTATAGGAAAATCATTTTATCAGTAAGTCAACTGAGAGAACATGAAGCCATCTTCGGTATCGGGCACATCAAGAGTGGTACATTTAATTTCTGTGGAAAACAATGTTGTCAAAAAAGACAGCTTACACTGAGCAATACTGCAGTTTCCAAGGCAAAGCGTTCCTTGAATGTCACATAAGCAGTGGCACCATAATCTTCTGATCTGTAGTGTTTAAATTCACCATGAAATTGATGACAAAGGCATGTCATAAAACAAAATTTTGAATTGTGAGCCAGGGTACTCCAGAGATAAGATCATTCTATGAGGTAAATTTATAATAAGCATGGTATGTCAATAGTTGTTCAACGCACGGATATCAAAATAACAAGCATAGTTTTTTTGTGGACCAAATATTTTTTTTAACAAGAATGTTTGAGTGGGCAGAATATGCCACAGATAACAATTATCCTTTTCTGTTAACAAAGTTAAGATGTCATTTATCTACTATATGAAAAGTGAGTGAGCTACATACAATTTGCTTTCTCTAAAAAAAAGGAGAGAGAGAGTAAAAAAACACCTGATAAGTTCTATGTGCTCAATAGGACCAGAGAACGAAAAGAACTCATGAAGATCACTTTCAGATACTCTGCTCGAGAGGTTAGTGACTTGTACAGTGTGCCCTGTTTCACTCATGATTCTGGAAGACATCAAACAGAAAAAAGTCAAAATTTTAGTATTTCCTGTGATATACATGTGAAATTGGATAGGCACAGTAGTTTCTGACTTTAGTCGGTAGGATATGTAACATCATTACAAGCACCAAGTAGTTTCTGCTTGTGTATCTCATTGGAAAGAACCTTTTGGTTGAACTTATTGTATCCTGTCTATAGCTATTGTCCTAAAGAATAATTTGGTGTCAAGTCCCCATCAGAACTAAAATTTTAAATGAATATATGTTACTTTCCAGTAGAAGTAGAAAATAGTTACACGAAATCAATAGCAATGAAACAAAAAGGATATATCCTACACACATCAGTTGGCCCACTGAAACGTCCATATTTCTATTAGCTATTACAATCTTTACAAAACTAGGCATACAGTGATAGCATCACCAGTACTACGACACCTATATGGCTATATTACAGTTCAGTGCAAATAATACAAAAGCACAAGGTGACCTGCTGCAGCTTTTCATCTATCCTTAACAGCATATACATTCTCTTTTTTTTTTCAAGCTGGGTATTGAATAACTAAAGTGTGAATTTCACTGTTACTGACTTATGATACATGGCAATGTGACAGAACAGAAATCAACCTCATTGTTAATTATTTGATTCCATGAATATGGAGCTGTTAGAAGATGCTATCAAGGAGAAATTATATTTGCAAGATCAATGCTGGGGCAAGATTGGTTCCCTAAGTAGCCCGAAAACAGAGAAGGCATGAACACTGAAATGTAAAGGTTTTCAAAATTCAAATGAAGAGGAACTAGCACAAACTTGGTACTTTCCTGGCAGCAATACTTGCGGCTAACAGGGAAATGATTGCTCAAATACCACTGTAGGAATATTATGGATCCGGAGGATTTATAATCATCAAGTGCAGTAGCATTTCAGTAAACCGACTACACCTGCTACAATACCAGTTGTTCCCTCAGAGTGCCACTTTTTTTTTTCAGAACCCAACCCAATCACTCATCATATCTTTCTTAACAAAGCCCTTAACCATTCATCCAGAAGGCTTCATATCCTCAGCAACTAAACTAAGCATCCTAAATAACGAACCTCTAATCACATTTATCCTCTAAATGTCATTGGCAAACAGCTGATCCGATGTAGCATATTGAAGATCATGCAATGGAAACTAAATTGAACAGGTCCTAAACAAAACTAGGGCACAACGTAGTTAACACAGAAAGGGAAAGTCACAGCCATATCACAGACAACCTAGGAAACGCAACAATAGGCGCACAATACGATCAATCCAGGCTCTCCTCTGACAAACCGACACAGAAATCCGACGCGCCAGTCGCCAGAGGGAAATCACCCCTGAAGCAACCACAAATGAAGCAAAAATCACAGCAATTCAGGGCAAGGCGAGCGAGGAAGCAGCCTTACCCTTCTCTCCCCGTCGACTCCTCGCGCCCCCACCCAGCTCGGCAGTCGGCGCCGCTTGGTTTGGCGAGGCATCCCGCACCAGCGCCCGCACTCCACCCACCGCACAGGCGCAGAGTGGCCCGTCCAAATCGCGTGATGAGCCCGTCGGCGCGGCGTTTAGTGGCGTGTGGGGCAAGGGCGCGACCTCGATCTCCCAGCCACCTACCGTACTAATCAACCGGGGTTCACTTCCGCACACGCGCGCGCACACAGGATTGCCCCTTCCCCCTCGGCAGTTGGGAGTTGGGACGAGGGGGCACGACGCCAGGGGAGAGGACGGTGGGGTGGCGTGGCGGCCTCGAGATCGGAGTAGGTAGTGGACTGGCACTGGTCACTTGGTCAGTGGAGTATTGGGCCACGGCTCCGACTCCCAAGCGCTTTGGACGTGCGGTGTCGGCGCCTCGGTGGGCAGTTGTGGTTGGATTACATGGGCTCGTCAAAGGAAAAGGGCTCTCTTTTGGGCTGGGCCGTTTGTGGGCTGTTGAAGGATCCTGGGCCTTGATGAGTTTCAGAAGCCTTCTTGGCGCGTTTTTCGCGTTCCATTTTTGGTCGCGATCGTGGAGAAACTGAAGAAGCAGTCTAATCGAAGGAAGGCACAACGTACATGAAGCGCGCGTACGTGAGATCGCATCGCATGCTCTACGTAATTAATCTGGGCGCGACCCATCGACGTTAACGTACATGGATGGCGGCGTCACGTGGGCAATTCCCCGGCCCGGATCTGCATGCACATGCACGTGGTGCCTGTACGTGCTAGCTTATGATTACTCTATCTACGTGGTACACTGGTACTGGGCCGGGACGGTCTGGCGTAATCATGCATGAAACCATCGCCGGGATACTTTCGCTTCCATTCGTGCCGGCCACACAAGCCGTAGCCGGCCGGGGGGCGGGGGCCCTGACAGATGACTCCCCGTGTGCTTAAGCAAATTAATAAGGCCTCGGAGGGACGAAGGTTTATCGAGGCCGACGACGGTGTATTGTGACTTGCGATCGAGTCGTGGCCATACATTTGCTTTATTTCAAACTGAGGTTTTCTGCGGTGCAGGGTGCTGCTTTAATTTTTCAGCTCAATAATAACCAGATCGCTCGAGTACATTGGTTTATGGTGCTGTTGACATGAAGCGGCACCAAACACATAAACATTAAACATGCATGCGTGCACCCATAGCAATCTAGCAGTGCTGAACCTTTCCGCGAAAACCAAACCCTCGGATACTCTCAGGTTTCCTTGGACAGAGGTAACTATTTACTATTACCTCCATTCCAAGTTACTAAGACTACATCTATGGTTTGGAATATGAAACGGACGGAGTAAGTCTTATAATTTAGAATGGAGGGAGTACGTGGCAAAAGATGACTAGGTTTACTAGCAAAACCATAAAAAAATCTAACTGTCGTGCTTACGTGACAATGAACGAGAGCAAACCAGTGAAAAGATGTATATCGTGCTTATGCGAATAAACAGGTAGTTTCCAAACAAACTAAACTAGCAAAAATACCCTCAACACTCTTGGCACTGGCAGGGAGGGATTCTTTTAGGGTGTGAATGTTGTTTGGTTTTCCTAGGTCAGGTAGCAAGTCTATGGCATCATCTTTATTTGGTCGTGGTGATTGGATCAAAGGATGAAGATTTGTCGAAGCTTGAAAGAAAATTAAGGCAAAAAGAGGTAAAAAAACTAAAGATATGGTACAAGACCCAAGAAGACCTTAAACACAGGTGTTGTCCTGCATGATGTGTGTATGTATGCTAATGATGCTTGCCCTTCTGTGTCTCTGGACTGGCCTTATTTGGATATGTATGCACCTCGGTCCATGTGTGCTGGAGTTGTTTGGTGTGAAATTTAAACTATATTCCACTCCAAACCACTCCAACCTGCATGAATTGAGGTCAATACATCAACATCCAAATAATCCCTAAATGAAATTGTGCATGTTACCACCCATTTGTTGATCCGTGGAGGGGTATTCAACTTGGCTTAGGGACTCAAGCATAACTGTATTCTGGGATAAAGTCTGAACCCAAAATGCAACTACGTTACAAAGAGAGCACAAGGACGAATATATATTTCGAATTTATCCACACAAAAAAACGGACCTTCCGAAGGTCATAACTTACGTATATCTAAGCTTTTAAATTAAGCATATCTACATATATATTTCAATCTTCTCGATGGACAAAATGTATACAATATATATAATGAAATCCATTATGTAACTTGGGTTTATCTCTTTAAAACCGGATGATCGTTCGATTTTCCCGGACCATCTGATACCTGCTGCCAATATAATTCAATACAGTACATACAATAACTAATGTTACACTACCGATCCAATATACATACAGTATCCTTTTGCCGACACAATAGTAGCCTTTCCATCTGGAGCGCATGCAGATGCACGCGGCCTTTGTACATAGAAGTACTAATTATTAAACATGGATCGATGATGTTTTCCGACAAGAGCGCCATCGCCTTTTCCAATTAGTCGTTGAATGCATATGCGTACTCTGCTCTGATGCGTCTATACGCGCGAGAGACGGCGATGTATACGCACCCGGCCTCAACGCGCGCGTAACTGCAAACGATGCACGTAACAAGCACTTGTGGTCGAGGACCGGGCCAAGAGCCATTGCCATGGATATGCATGCATGCAGACCATGCAGTGGTCACGGGACGGGAGGGTGCAGTGCTGAAAAAGCGGAGGGATCGAGACGGGCCACCCGATTAACAGGATTATGGAATGACTGCTGAGCTGAAGACAAGCCATTTATGTAAAGCCTAGTAAATTGTTGCTTTTTTTATAGCAATGATCATAGTATGCATAGGTCATGCAGTGGTTTTCACGGGAACGGGAGGGTCGCAGTGTTTGACTTGTTTTTCAAACGAACAGGACCATAGTGTGGGGTGCGATCCCGTGATACCCACGGTAGACCATTACGTCGTCCCAAAAAGACGACGCTTTGCGGGCACGGGCACGACTATAATACAAAGGCGGCGTCTCTCCTCCAAACTCACGCCTATCATACGATAAGTCCAACAGATCATGAGTAGGGTATTACGTCGTACTGACGGCCTAAATCTGTCTAACTCATGTGTCTCTGTTGCCTTCTTGTTCTTGATCTCGCGCTCTTCTGCCGATCAATCTACCTTCGTGAGATATCTTTCGGAGGACTCTCAAGATATTCTATGGACACGTTAAGCTTCGATCAAGTTAAAAAAAAGAAGAAGATGCAGCTTCAGTCTTTTCGTCAGTACGGACGACCTGCATCTCCCGGCCGAAAAGTTATAGTAGTATAAAAGTATGATGCACAAAAAAAAAGGGGAGAGAGAGATGTATTGATAAAAAATATATATTATGAGAAAAAAAAAGATACATTAGGAAATGAAAAGATCAATTATTCTGAGACAACATTTAAATCCTATATATATAAGGACGTCATCTATTTTGAGACGAAGACAAAAATTTAAATTATATACAAGGTCATCTATTCTACCAAAGTCAATGTCTTTGACCAAATTTGTAAAAAAAATAGCAAGTATTATTTATGATACTAAACAATTACAATTAGATATTATATTAATCATGAACCATATTTTTATAATATATTTATTTGGAGTCATACTAGATGTTAACAATGTTTTTTAGTCAAAGAAAGTTTAACTCGGTCCATAACTAGAATTATGAGATTTGATATATTTCAGGTGCCTGAAATATAGACTTTTCTTCGGTCGACGGCCATAGAACATCACGTGTATACTATGCGAACATCATAAAATACATCATAGAACATTACATGTACAATACGCGAACATCACCGCACGTCGCCTGAACAGCAAACACAAATTCAGGCGACTGTCGTATGTACGTGAACATCACAAAATACATCATAAAATATCACATGTATACTACGTGAACATCGTAAAATTCATCGTAGAACATCGCCTAAACAACAGACGTAAAATTCAGACGACTGAAGTATAGGAAATGTGTAGATTTATATTATTTTTAAACAAAGGCAATATTATTTTTTATTTCGTGGGAGTGGGAGTACTACATGTACATGCAGGTACGTAATCACGCCAAAAGAGTGGAGGCAACCAGCGACGGAGCCGACTGTGAGGCTGGGGGCTTCAGCCCCCCTACCGATCCTGGGCACGTGAAGCCCCCCTAAGCCCTCTCTTAAAATTTTATGCATACATGTATTAGGCAGGAGGGGCTAAGGTTAAAAGAAGATAAAAAACCTCTATTCTTTTGTTCAGTCCCTCCTAAATTTTTTCTGGCTTAGACAACGTACACTCTCTCGCGCTAGCTAGGTACCACAATACATGTACACTACGCGAACATCACCGTACGTCGCCTGAACAACAAACACAAATTCAGACGACTGTTGTATGTACGTGAATATCATAAAATACATCATAGAACATCACATGTATACTACGTGAACATCGTAAAATTCATCATAGAACATCGCCTGAACAACAGACACAAAATTCAGGTGACTGAAGAATAGGAAATGTGTAGATTTATATTATTTTTAGAAAAAGACAATATTATTTTTTATTTCGTGGGAGTGGGAGTACTACATGTACATGCAGGTACGTAATCACGCCAAAAGAGTGGAGGCAACGTACACTCTTTCGCGCTAGCTAGGTACCACAATACATGTACACTACGCAAACATCACTGCACGTCGCCTAAACAGCAAACACAAATTCAGGTGACTGCCATATGTACGTGAACATCGTAAAATACATTATAGAACATCATATGTATACTACGTAAACATCATAAAATTCATCATAGAACATCATATGTATATTACGTGAACATCATTAAATTATAAACGCATGTTTGGTTGGCATCCAAAATTTGTCATGTCAAAGATTTTATTACATCTAGATAAATAAACCAAGAAATCAAAGCGAGAACGGAGTGAGTAGCATTTTACGCTCCTGGCCAGCTTACTTATCATTGCTCGTCACCTAATAGCATTTTTACTAGCTAGCTGCCCTGGTAGGCCTGCTGCAGCCAAGTCAGCCATAGGCCCATAGAGATCTAGAACGTACGTTGAAAAACTGACACGATCGAGCTCATCAGGCGTCGCGTGGCCGGCGCTCGGCCGGCACCCGACCGGCCGGGAAGGCCGCCGCCGCTCGCGGTCTCCCAGTTAGTTGCGCGATCTGCGTGCGTGCCATGGAGGCCCCGGAGGCCGGATGGATCATATCGGCGGCCGTCGGCCGGGCGTGACTGCTAGATTGCATTGTGTGGACCGAATCGGGCGGGACAAGTCCAGGGAGACAGCGAGATCGAGCGGGTTAAGAAGGCCCAGGCCCCAGGGGGATCTCGTGGCCCAACACGGTACCCTCTCTTGTCTGTCTTCTCTTCTGTCACCAAAAGCGCATAGGCTTTTTTGACTTCGCTGCGGAACGAACAGGAGCAGAGCCAGCGAAAATTCAGAAACAGCAGTGTGCTACGAGCACCTTTTATTAGCTAGATATTTACATCAAGACAAGAATGTCAAGGCATACATAGTTATTAATATTAATATATAGTAATAAATAGATCGAAAAATATATATATAGCCGATCATGTGTATATATCAGCAGGGCTAGGGCTGTGCCAATTTGGAATTGCTTTCGAAAGCATTGGTATCTGAAACAACCTTGCGTGGATCACACATGTGACCTCGCCGGTCGCCACACTCGCCATGCATATATCATATCACACAGAATGGCCCAACGTAACTATTGCTCGAAACAGCTCCAATAAGTTAGTTTTTTGTTTTCATTTTTCAGTAAATAAGGTTCCATGCATATGCTCAAACTAATCCAGCACTTAATTAGGAACATGTATACACTGCAAACTCCGTCCCCAAATGCAAATAGATTTTGGGTTATGCTATGTCAAACTATCTAAGTTTGATTAAATTTATTAATATAAACAAACGCTATATGTGTCAGTTCGTTCATAAAAAAATAGTAGAAGTATTATTTACGATATCAGACATCATTTAGATATTTTTTTTTTAAGAATTTACCTCTATGATTTCATAAATGCTAGTACTCTTCTCTAGAAGACTTTGTCAAACTTAGGGTGTTTTGACTTAATTAGGACAAACTCATATCCCTTATAATCTAGAATGGAGGTGGTAACACGATCTGCAACATCATATTTTGACCAGTAACATCTATATATAGCCAAATTACGTTGTTTCACATGGTGAAAGGCATATATTAGATAGCATCAGTCTTATGTAAATCTATATGCCTATATAAATATATAAAAAAAATTACAACAGTTGGAAAAAATATGGGCCTTCCACGAGCCAAGATCGGACGGTGCAAAATAGGAGGTACTCATATGAAAGTACTAATAAGTACTAAATTGGTGGGGACAGTACCAAAATAGGTAGGGCCGGTACCAAAATAGGTGGACCGGTTACGGATTTTTCTGTATTTATTTATTTCGAAGAAGGAGGGCAATCTGGTAATCTCAGTATATTCATCGCAAACAACCAACCACAAACCGGCGCCGCGAATGCCTGTTTCTAGCTTGATCGCGGATTCCTCGATCTATGTACACACACGAACAAGAGTTAAAATACACTGGGGGCCCTTAAACTTGTAGCTCTGTGTCACTTAGGTCCACGAACTCTCAAACTCAAAATCCAGCTCCCTGAACTTGTTAAGTCGTGCATCGCAGGTCCATGCCCCTTCATGCAGGGACTGACTAAGATAAATTTTATAAAAAACACCTCCTCTTCTTCCCCTTCCGGAAGGGCATCAAGCACTGCTCCGGTGGTTGGCTCCAGCACTCCTCCGCGCGCAAGCAGAAGCACCAGCAGCTCAACTTGGAGGTGCTTAGGCCACCAGAGATGTGCCGGAGCAGCTCGGCCGAGGCGCTCCACGAGTGACGCCACGAGCGTGTGCGACAGAGGGAGCAACATCCTCGGCACTCGCCTCATGTAGTCGCACGGACCAGAGCGAGCGGCGGCGATGCCAGCGGAGGGTGCGGCGAGCGCCTGGTGCTGCGCGTGCACCGCCACGGCCGCCCCGCGTGCTGTGGCCTTACCTGCAGCACGTGGAGTCTGTGGCCGACGAGATGGAGCAGCACCGCCGCGAGCTACGGCAGTTCGCCAGCGTCGACGTGGACGCGGCCACGGGCAGTACCATCGGAACAGCTCGCCCAGCAGCATGCACGCCGTGTCCACCACCACCTCCTTGGAGGCGCACTGTTTGTTCCCGTGCGCCTCCTAGGTGGACCGGTTACGGATTTTTCTGTATTTATTTATTTCGAAGAAGGGGGGCAATCTGGTAATCTCAGTATATTCATCACAAACGACCAGCCACGAACCGGCGCCGCGAACGCCTGTTTCTAGCTCGATCGTTTCCTCTCGCAGCTCCAGATTCCTCGATCTACGTACACACATGAACAACGCTTGTTCCAAAAGCAGGAAACCATGGACATGCTGACGCTGCACCACAAGCGCGGCGGAGGCCGAGAACCACGACGAGAGTTGCGCCTGCTACTGCATCGTGGTGTCCTGCGCCTCTCGCTGCTGCTCTTTGTCGTGCTGGCTGCCGCGGTCACTGGCCCGTTCGCTTGGAGGAATCTGGAGGAATTCGTGAGAAAAAAATACTGTTCCGGATGAAAAAAAGAAGCGGATCAAACTGGATTTAAGGGCACGCAAACGGGGGCCACTATCTCGAGGGCCTGTGCCATCACAGGCGCCGTCGTGGTCCTGCTCGGGCTCGTTGGGTGGCTCGCGGCCACGGGAAACGGAGCAGCAGCGGCCTGCAGCTCCAGGGGTGCGGCTGGTGGTACAGCACTGGTGCGCGTGCGGCCTAGCGGATGCCGCGATCGCAGCTCTACTACCGACGTTTGCATAGGAGCCACGGCGAGGTAGGGGACGGGATTCTCAACTTCTGCGCAGGAATAGCAGCCACGCGGTAGCTGCATGCTGTGCGTACTGTGCCTGGAGGACGTGCGGGCGAGCGACATGGTGTGGCAGCTGCCGGCGTGCCGCCACCTGTTCCACGTCGACCACATTGACGCCTGCCTCAGGCTTAATCGCTTAAGGCAAACTCAATTTACTAATATACCCTCCATAATAAAAAAAGCCATTATATGAATAATCTTTCTCAATTAATTGGCTAGAAAAAATAGAAAAAATGAAAGTACCGGTATGTACCAAAGTAATTTCCCAACCATTGTAAAAGAGCTCATAAATATATTGATGGTCCAAATTCAAAACGATCGATGAAAATTAATCCTGAGTTGACCTTTATACATCTGTGACAAGATATACTCCTATATATTGACTGGTACTACTGTCTTAGCTAGCTGAGGTTAGCCGCCGGTTCTCCTTCGTGTTTCTTGTTATCGTCGACCTAAAGTTGAGTGCCTTTCTAGATATAGACACCTAAAAAACAGACGTTGTGTCCATCCGCACTAGTAGAGAACAGACCTTTCATCCGAGGTCAAAATAGACTTTAGTCCCGGCATTTTTTACGCCTAGGACTAGAGAGACCTTTAGTCCCGGTTGGTGTCTCCAACCGGGACTAAAGGTCCCTGCCCAACGGCTACTGCGCTCGGCACAATGGCAGGGGACCTTTAGTCCCGGTTGGAGACATCAACCGGGACTAAAGATGGACCTTTACTCCCGGTTGGAGCCACCAACCGGGACTAAAAGTCCTCCAACCTTTAGTCCCGGTTGGTAACACCAACCGAGACTAAAGGGTGACCTTTTAGTCCGGGTTGATATTACGAACCGGGACTAAAGGTCTCCCACCCAGGACTAAAGGTCCCTCACGGGTCAATTTAAAAGTAGGAGCGGGGAGGACTATGTCACATGTGGTGTGCAGTTGAGTTGGTAAGGAATCTACGCGTGATGAGAGAGGTCTTGTGTTCGAATCCCACGCAGCGCAAGCGAGGTCTCAAGGAATTCGTTTATTTTTTAACTGAGGAGGGGCTTTACTCCCGGTTATTGACCCCCTTTAGTCCTAAATTCTTACTCCCGGTTGGGAAACCGGGATTAAAAGGGGATCCCAACCGGGAGTAGAAGCCTTCTCTCCATCAGTGCCGGTTAGCCACAAGCCTGATACAACACGCTGCAATTCAGAGTGAGTTCATCAAACTACAGTGAAGCTTTTATTCATTTCAAGATCAAACACCAGTGAATGTCCTGTTCTTCTGCGTGCAACTTTTGCTGCATGGCCCTAATCAGGCAAAGTAGGGCTTAATTTGGCCGCCGATTAGGTACTGTTTGCGAAAAATTAGTTGCACGTTTGTAGTCATGGCCGTACGGTGTATCTTTGATTTCCTGCCTCCTGTCGCCCCACTTAGATAACATGATTATATATGCATGCATGGTCCATGCATCCACATCTGCATCATTTGCAGGACGTACGACGTAGTACTCGATTGAGTTGAGTCCAAACTAAATATTTCTCTGGTTAACATTTTTACCATAAATTGAAAATTAATGTACCAACAAACTAAAATACATATATGATACTCCACGTTTTCCAATTACAAAAACTAAAAATTGAGTAACTTAAACTAAAAGTCGGGTATCAAACTAAATTTGAGCTCAATCCGGTATTAAACTAAATTTGGGCTCAATCGAGTATTAAACTAAAAATCGAGTAACTTAACTAAAAGTTTGAGCTCAGCAGTGTATAAAACTAAATTTGAGCTCAATCGGGTATTAAACTAAAAAAAGTTGGACATAAACTATTCAGATTTTTATAATGAAAAACTAAACATTACAAAAGTTCATTATGGGGTAGGTTATTGGAGCACTAATGTTTATATATTTTTCCTACTGGTACATTGGTTCTGCAATAGGTTTTAGTATATGAACTAATATTAGTACTGATGAAAAAGGACATGGTTGTTTTCAATCTTCATGCACGTATATGCATGGGGCCATGGAGAGGAATCGTACTGAAATGGACTCCGGAAATTGGACTTGATGGTAGAGTCACAATTGCACACAGTAACAGTATGTTTTATATAAAGAAGAAAACATCCATTCACTTGGAAAACTTCGTTTTCATGAGTATGTCCAAATTAGTTAAACGAGGACAAGGCACCAATCTCCCTGGCCTGTAAACTCCAAAGTCAGATAAAACGCAGGGCACAACAACTACACAACAAGCACGTCCAAGAGTTGCAATGATTATTTATGGTGTGCGGACCATCAAGAAAACAACCCATCATGCAACTTAGAGTTAAGTATGTACTTATTACTAGTAGCTAGCAAACTTAAGTAAAAGCTCCACTTCATTAAACAAAGCCAATTAGCCATCTCAAAGTACATCATCAACATGATCCTCTAGTAGTCTACTTGTTGTTGTAGTAGTAGTAGTAGTAGTAGTATATTTCAGATAATTGAAACCTGATGCTTGTCTGTCCATGCATTTCCCACCATTATTTGCATGCAAAACCTCTCACATCCAACTTGGATTAACAGCCAAACGACCGATCGCAAAAGCAGAGACGATGACACCACACAATGCAAGCTTACATCAAAGTACAAGAATTGCTCACTACTAAGCATATAGCTCATCGCCAGCTCTACTAATATCCTTGAGCACAGTACTAGTAGTAGAGTTTAGTAGCTAGACAGCGGCTGGGCAGCTAATGAGCAGTTGCAAAAGTACGGTATAGCTAGTAGCTAGGCAGGAGGCAGCAGCATGCCTGAGACTGAGATCTAACGGCCGTGCACGCATGCATGCGCTCTCACCGGGAGCTTGCTTGCCTTTTCCGGGCGGTACGACGGTGGTCACATGAGCAGGCTCCTGATGACGGCGGCCTGGTCGCTGGTGACATCGGCGGAGGCGAGCAGCTCGGTGAGCGTCTCGCTGAGGTTGTCCACCTCCTGGTGCAGGCTCCTGATGTAGCTGCACGTGTCCTGAAGCACCCTCGCCGCCGAGCCCTGCGTTCTTGGTTGTCCTTGTGAGCTTGCTGTTACTTAAGTAGCTAGATGTCTACGACTACGAGCTAGCAAACAATTTGGCTGCACTAGTGCATCAGAGTGCTGAGTAGTGCTTACCCTATGTGCGCCATTGCGAGTTTGAGACTCCGGGAGCAGCGCCTGAAGCTTGGACAGGAGCTCGGAGATCTGGTCCTCCGAGATGGACCTCGACGTCGACAACGACAGCGAGCTCCCCGCACGCAGTGTGCGTGATGACCTCCGGCTGCTGGACATGTCTCCGTTGCTTGCTGCAATCTGATTATCTATATGTGGATCGGAGCTAGCTCTAGTATAGCTAGCTAACTGGCTAGCTAATAGTAGGAGCAGTGCTTGCAGGTGAAACGAAGTAGCTAGAAGAAGAGCGAGAGAGCTCGGGGAGTAGACAACAGCTTGCTTTAAGGCAGGTGGTCAGTGGCAGTTGCAGATGGAGCAGAGTGAGCTGCTGCTATATATAATGAGGAGATGGCCGGCCGGGCTGCGCGGCCTGCTAGTGATGGATCGGAGGATGGGGGGAAGCAATCGATCGGGGTGAGCCGGAAGGGGGGCATGCAGGCCGGAGGGAGAAAGCGAGAGTTATAATGTGCGAGGAAGACGTGCCGGGGTATGGTGGTATGGAGGCTGCTGAGACGAAGGAGATGGCGGATTCATGGCGCGGCTGCGAGCATGGAGGAGCAACCAAGTGTTGGTTTCTGTACTTGTATTATTGCGGCCTCTGGATTTGTCTGTACTTGTATTATCTGCGCCTGTGTGGCTCCACCGCCTGGATCTGCATAGTTGCATGCAGATGCAGCAGGGGCATCGATCTCTGAACCCGACTCATTAGATTAGTCTATAATAATAACAAGCAGAATCTTGTTTATTTCTGTAATCGCAAATTGTTTACAAGCACGATTGGTACTGGTATTCTTGCTTGAAATATCAATAAAGGCTTTGTTGGTGATGTTGTTCCTTACCCGCCATTCGACATATATATATATATTGTATATAAGGTTGGAACAGTATACATCTATCAGTAGAGAAATCATCAGCTTCCTGCCGGAAACCGATCGAAGCATCGTTTTCAGCAGTGGAGCAGCGTTGAGTTATTGATTACCAAAAAAGAAAATAAATCCGAGTTTTCTTTAGAGGCGTTGAGCATACAGTACTGCTACTCGTGCTGCTGCGCGTGGTCGCAAGCTTCTGTGGTACTATTACTAGTACTTTGTCACTGTGTTTATCCCCTGTTCACTTGTTTGTTTCAGTCATGGCTTATCAGTCATGGATATAGTATTTTTCTCTCACAACAAACCAGCATTAGCCGAGCTTATCAGCCTAGAAACCAACCAGCGAACATGTTGTATGACTATTTACAAATGATTTGCTTGGTAAATAGTTGGAACATCTAGGGATGCTGCAAAATTTTTACTCAGCGTTGTCCGAAGCTTAGCTGCATCTGAGTGGGGGCGAGATTATAAAATGTTGGTCTCAGCTAGAGTCGAGGACGACGGCCTACGTGGATTGCAGTAGGACGTGGCCATACACACCCAACCAAAATCCAACTAGTAGCTTCAAGTCCTCGTCTCTTACCTTAAATTTGCATGTCTATTCTCTCCTCTCAATTGAAAAAAAAAACGTCTAATTCTTTCTATTTGGTAAATGTCGAATGCTGGAGCGATCGAGAGACGATGGTGGACGACTGTGGTCACACGGTGCCACATGAACTGAGTGGATCCACGTATACAGGTAGTCGTCACAGCCAGATCTCTCTCAACACACACGAACGCAGCGCTACCAGTTAGTAGCTCGCTATAAATTCGGACACTCGGTCGATCACTCAGCTGTCCGGATCGGAAACAGTGCCGGGCAACAGTTGGGCATATAGAAATCTTTCAACTACCCTGCAGGATCGATAGATCCTTCCACCGCCTCATCATGATATATATGTTTGACCAGCTCTATATATATAATTCCGATTCGAGGGGGGTGCCCATCCATGGGCGACGAGAGCAACACGTCTGTCTACCAGCAGACCGGATACCATACCAGATGGTCCTGATCATCGAAGCTAGGAGTACATTATTGGGGAGTCAACAAGCAAAAGATGCTCGTTTCGTGATCTCGAACGACGGCCGAGACGAGCTAGCGGACTGGAGCCCTCATCCAGTCATCCTGATCGATGCATGCTAGAAATGCTATATGTGCAGTGCACCCAGCCAGCATCGCCTTATGGGGAGCGGGAGTCTCGAAGCTTTTTCCCCGATTGGTGACCTGAAACCATGCATGCATAGCAGCAGTGGCGCCACCGATGACAGGGACGACGACGACGAGACGAGCTCACCAGAATGTGGTCGGCGGGTCACAAATCACGCTGACGACTGAAGACCTGCATGCCGATTGCCGCCTATGTGAACTGTGCCGGTTTTATCAGGCCAGGGCCGGGTATGTGATCGGTCTGCTTCGCCTTGTTTGTCTCACTCTCACCCCAGTGCGGCCTTGTCTCAAGTGTGAACTGTATATGGAAATCCCAGCCTGATAAAGTCAGTGAAAAGAGAGATGCGCTGTGTTGCTGTCCGTGTTGTGCGACCTTACAGTGTGCTGCTACTTGGCCCATGCTTCCACGACCGAACAGTCCACCATGGATCCATGCCCCTGCTGATGACGGGTACCTGCGTGCACGCGCCGCTCTCTTCGGAGATTCGCAGTGAAAGATGATGTTTGCCATGGGAAGATATTTTCTGTCTTCTTGGACATTATTTACGGTCGAGTCGTTGAGTACGACGAAATGATCGGTGACTAGAGCACCCACAATGATTACTAGCTCTAACCCAACTTTTCTAGTAATGCTAACTTTTAGCTCTAGCTTTTATCATGGATAGCTCCATATGACACTCAAACATAACCTTAAAATATTTGTAAGATCTTAGCTCTTAATCAAGAGCTAGTTTTTCTTCTCTTTCTTATATTAAAATATGAAAAAAATACTTATAGCTAGCTTAAGAGTCAATCATTGGAGCTGTCCATACTCAGATATACTATATATACCGCCGTAAAAGAAGACGCGATAATAATTGGCTAATGAGTAGCAGGAGTACATGAAGATACATGCATGCTTCCTGGATTCTCGTTAGGCGACCGATTGGTGGAGTCGGAGAAGGCCAATCATGACGCTATGATTTGTTCTGCGACAGCACGAGGCCGGGCGTCCGATCCGTCACGCCCCTCCGACGACGATCCCGAGCAAACGACGAAACTAAACAAAGGGCGTGTTTGGACCGCGGTTACCCACCGCGCGGTGTGGTACGTGTATTGTATCATGGCGCGAGGGCCGCGGTGCCGAAAACGTAGGCGCTAGTTCATTTGTGCAGTTCAGAATGCCGTGTGCGAGGAAAAGAATCATCGCACCGTGGGAGCGTTTAACGCGATTCTCGGATTGCTTTCTCCGCCGCCGCAAGAAACGCGGTCCCAAACACGCCGAAAGCGGGAGGCCCGGCCAGGGGCACCCAACACCCAACAACAACATGCGCATGATGCATGGCACGAGACGCTAGCTTTGTCTGTCACTCCGTCCCCAGCTCGGTCAAAAGACAAAGACCAACGAACCAGAAGCCGGGGCGGCAGAATCTCCCGGACCTGCAGGGCTGAGCAGGACCACGCTGGTCGTGGTCGATCGCAGACAGAAACAGAGCGCTCGCCGCACCGCGGGTCGCCCCGGCGCGCGGCGGCGGCGGCCTCCTGATTGGGGCCGATGGCATCTGGCGATCCCATCTGATCCGATCGATCGCATCGCATCGCTGGAGCGAGCGGTTCGATTCCTCGCTTTTGTAGAGGGAGGGAGTAGCAACGAATTCGCTCACAGGGACCTCGGGGCGCGCGCCGAGCGTATGCCGGCCACGCGGCAGCATGGCGAGCGCGCCGACCATGTGTGTCGTCGTACGTACTCCTACCAATAATTAATAACCAATGGCAACAAGAGATGGATGGTTTTTGTTCGGTTGTCCATTCTCAGTCAAAGGCTCTCATAACGCAAACACTATTCCTACCGCTGCCAGAACTTAACTTGGCCCTCGTATAGTTCGGCGCGGAATCTGCGACGGCAGAGAGTACTGTAGCCACAGTAGCTACTGTAGCGTTTCGTTTGTGTTTGGTAATAATTGTCCAAACGTTGACTAATTAGGCTCAAAACGTTCGTCTCGTAAAGTACAACCAAATTATGCAATTAGTTTTTGATTTCGTCAACATTTAGTACTCCATGCATGTACCACAAGTTTGATGTGACGGAAATCTTCTTTTTACATAGTGCCAAATTCTGGAAATTGGGGGAACTAAACAGGCCCTTGGGCACTTGGCATGCATACACGGATCGAGAGAGATCATCGGATCGAGATTGCACACGGATCGAGAGAGATCATCGGATCGAGATTGCACGAGTTTCTGACCGCTGAGTTAAGTGCGAGTCAAATTTTGCAGTTTGGGCAGATATGCCGAATTGTATAATCATTTCTTTGCCCTTTTCCTTTCTCTCTTTCGGACTAAATTTCTTCCCATTATTACACAAGTGCATTATTGGTCATAGGAGTACTATTTTGTATGGGCGGTTTCATGTGTCGACATCTAATCTAAGTTTACAGATGTGTAAGTTATATAAGTAGTTTCGTATTTATAATACTTGCAAAATATATGAACTTTGAAGGGTTTAAAAGTATATGTAAAAAAAATTTGTTGTCAAAGATGACATCGATCAAAACCGTGCACGTTAATTATGACAAGTTTTTTTCCCCAAAGGTGAGAGGGATCCCGATATAATTGACAAACTGTATAACGATTTATCTAAAAAACAACTAACATATACCGGTGATGTTTCCTTTTAACATAGGCTAAGCACAAATTATGATCTAGTGCTTGCAACATTTCACACCAATAAACGATGAAGGATCTCGATCCGCACTAGGATTCATGATCATGACAACTTGATAAAGGGATTGCTTTTAATCTATCAACAAATTTATTTTAGAAAACATATCAAAATTTTAACTATTTAGTGGAAATCCATGGTCTCTGGATCACCCTCTCTCCCAATCTTATCTTCTCCTACTGACCATAACCTTCTTCTAGCAGCCGCATCCTCTGCCTATAGCTTCAATGGCACCCCTGCCTCCTCTGCCTCTAGCCCCGCCAATGTTCCTTCAGCCGCCAACGCCTCGCCGTCCCGCATCGTCATGTCACCTTCTTGCCTCGTTGGCTCATCGTCGTCCCAC